TGCATGGGGTCGCTATGAGTTGGTTCTGACTCGATGGCACCTGACAACAACAACAACAACAATAAGAGTAACACCAAGTGTGTTACTGGTAAAACTTATTTGCAGCCATCCACTGATTGCAGAGACGTATTGCAACACTTTTTGTTTGGAATAAACGCATGGATATATGACCTAGAACCCTAGTACCAATATTTTTTTACTTACCCTCATATATGGATTCCTGGTATAGCGCCATAAGATAAGCACTATAACTCAAGGTTAGTTTAAATCACAAGGTCAGCAGTTCAAAGTTCCCAGCTGCTCCTCAGAAACCCTATATAGGGTCACTATGAATCAGAATCAAGGCTATAGCATTTAACAACAACAACAACAAACCTCATATATATTTTTTTTATTTGATGTTATTTCTGTAGGTGATTTCCAGAAATTAGATTGGCAAGCCAAATTTTTATGGATCTGGAAATATTCTCTAAAATGATTTTCCACAGGGGATTCTGACAGTTTGCAATTTGCTGTATTGTCATCAGTGATTACTGCTTTATGATGCCTTTAGCTGAACTGGCATCATCCAATTTTAAAAAAATGACAAGCTTTTTTTTAAAAAAAACTTCTTATTTTGAAATGATAGATTAACAATAAAATTCTGAAGAAATGTGCAAGGGAGAGTATGGACTCTTCAGCCTTCAGCCCACTTTCCTAATGTTGATCACTTGTATAACTTTGGTACAATATTGAAACCAGGAGTGTTAATAGTTTACTTAGATTTTGTCAGTAATAGAAGTACTCATTGCTGTGTGTGTGTGTTTTATGCAATTACATCATATGTCGTTTTATCTTGATGTAAGTATCACAGGTTTTCCCTACTATCAGAAAGTGAAAGGTTCCATGAATCCTTTTGTAAGCTGAAATGTTGTAAAGTGAAGAAGCAGTTACCATTAACTGATATGGGAAAAAATTTTGAGCTTTTCCAGACCTAAAAAAATAACTGGTCAGATCTTACCAAAAGACGTAACCCTAAAATGAATGAACACTAACAGTGTCCACAGACACAGTTTGAAGCTGTGGCATGTTGATGTTGAGATGCTGAGTGTGAAAGGAGCTTGATGGCGCCACTCTTGCTGCTCAGGCTACACGCACGCTGCTGTGTTCAACACCGAAGGCTAGTTTTGCTTTTGGCTTTTTTTGAAGAACAAATTTTAGAGTGCTTAGTATACGTTTTGGCATTTTCACTTTTCCCTGTTATTTTTATGCCCTTTTACTCTCTTCATGTTGTTGTTGTTATTATGTGCCATGGAGTCGGTTCCGACTCACAGCGACCCTGTACAGGGTTTCTGAGGCTGTAAATCTTTACGGGAGCAGAAACCCTCATCTTTCTCCCACAAGAACAGCTGGTAGTTTTGAACTGCTGACCC